TATATAAATTAAACAATCCATTCAACTGTACTATTCTGGTTTATTCAACAATTACAATATTATTAAACCTTCTATATAGGTACCTGTGTAAAAGTACAATATACTTACACCTCTATGGCACGGATTTTCAGCCTTAGATTAAATTCATTTTTCACTTGCAATATTAAAAACATATATTTAATTTAGCTACTTAAACTATGTTATTACTTATGTATAATGTATTTCAACAAAGAATTAAACAAAATAACAATTGAGCAATTTATGACGTTTTATTCTTACTACACATATACCGGTTGAAACAACACAAGAAGAGGCCTTTCCATGTTAACGATGCATTAAAAAGTTGCCAGAGCGTCAGTGTAGAAAAAGCTTCGTAAAATCCACACCTAAAACTATGAGCGAATACTACAAAAACATCAAAATCTTAAGATTTAAGAGTCAATTAATCAAACAAAAGAAAAACAAATTTTTGGAAATATGATATTTTTTCCGGATTTGTAATCGAATATATTTCTTTTTACATAATAAAAAATATATTTCACTTCCAATGAATAGGATTCGCGAAAACCTAAGAAGTCGATACAAAAACTCAGATAATGATATAACTACATAAAATGTCCTATTTAGGCGTTTAGTTAATTGGCAGCTAAAAAGAGGCGGAGCCAGATTAAACTTAGCTTTCTTCAAACCTCAGTTAAATTAAAAAAAACTAAATGCTATACGAAAATCTTAAGATATCTTATAAGTTTTACTTTTAAGAACAGTCAAATATAATTATTGTAAGAAATTTGAACAGCGCCTCTACCATGATATTACAGTGACAGATGTCGCTAGCGACCGCGTTATTTACATTCACTTTTGTATAAAAAATTGTATAGCGCCCCTAGCGGTCACAAGGAAAAGTAACATTTTGCATGCAAATATTTTACGTAGTTGCTAGTGACAATTATCATGTGTAATATGGTAGAGGCACAGGGTAATAAACGTTATCTACATTTATTCATTGTTTAAGTTTTCATGCAGTGTCGTAGCGCGGCGGGTGCTGAAGAGGTATAGCCCCGGGCGGCACAGCAATGGGGGCGACGGCGAGCGCGGCTTAACCTAACTAGTCAAAATGATTATTTTTACTTAAAATTAGAAAAAAAAATTACCACTTTTTAAGAAAACAATATCCTGAACAAAACAAAGATTGCGACGACAAGCGAACATAAAAACACAATCGAGCCGAGCCTGCCCGAACGAACTACTTTTGTAATCGCGAAAATAAAGGGGGCAGCAAATCGACTCTACGCCACTATTTTCATGTAGTGGTATTAACATATTAATGGTACATAAAATTGTCATTAAGATTGTAACCATATATTAGAGACTGAAGTTCCATTGACTAAACAATCTTTAAACCCTTTCATTATGTAGGTTGATTGGTACCATTTCATGTTGTGTGTTGATTCTATTTCATTGAGTTCATCATCCTCCTTATCGTCAATCTGAAGATCATCGAAATTGCGGCTTATTATGTCTCCAAATACTTGAAATTCGTTGCAACAAGACAAATTGTTCCCATGGTGAGTTCTGAAGTCTACAACAACTGTTTTACAGCTTCGTGGTATGCGACAACCACTGGTAAGCACAAAATTGTCAGTGTTTAGTACTACATCTTGGTTGCCAGTTAATTTCTTCTTAATTAAAATGTAAGTGTTAGTTGGTGGTATTGGATGGAAGAATACTTCACTCAATTTTTCTGATGTTACTAATGTCCTGAAAAAAACAATAGACTTACTATTAATACAAAGATTGAACACGTAGAAAAAATTCGATTGGATTCGAACCAACGCGACGTCTTCTAGCAAACCGTGCTAGACGCTATGCCAACTAAGCCACGGAACGAACCAGTGGATCTTACGAATTTTTCTGTGTTTGTTGCAGATCTTTCACGGTTTCACACGTCTTGCACGGTTCGGTAGAAAACTTCGAATCCAGGCGGATCGAAAGATAGCTTTTAAGTTTTTGATCTTTCTATTAACCCTGAACTACGGTCGTGGGTCCAATGGGCCCATTCCCACTCCTCAGTACCTTCCGATGTCACGCTAAAGCGCACACTGTGATTGACGTGTTTTGCTCGCTGCTCCAAACGTAAGAAATGGTTTACATATGGGTCCAATGGTCCCACGACTATAAATAGATACGTAAGTTTTTTGTGTGACATAATTTTATTCATTTTTGTTTTTTTTATTTCAGTTTCTAATCATGGCGAATCGAAAAAGCACCTTAGTAATTCACGAAGACACAGCATTTGTCAAAGTTCAAGTAATACTTTGAATAAAAAATATTATATATATCATACTCTCTATTTTATTACCATTCCAAAATGTATGTGTCCATTGGACCCACGACTATAGAAACGTTGTTTTTTTCCACGACTATAGTTAAGGGTTAATAATTATAACAAACTAGTGGAGTAACTTCACAAAACATAATTGTATATCATGGTGGTGAAACTTAGTAACATATATGTGACACTAAAAATAAACAAAGTAGTAACAAATAAAATCAGATCAGTAAAATCTTACCTATAGCGTAAATAAAAAAACTTAAACTACTGGTTATTGTATCCGACTTAGTAATGGCGGCATTCAAGCAAAAATTTTTTTAAAATCACGCTTATTACAAGTCAATGAATTTGTGGACTCACATTATAAATGAATATTCATTTAGTAGAGTTCGTAATGTGTATCTGTATAATTTAAGTTTGTATTTCTTGCAATTTGACTTGCAATGTTGTCTTGTAAACTAAATATTTGGATTTCAATTACATCAAATTATGATTTAAATATAATTTAAAGTGCTAATATTTTATTACCTAGTACACACTGACAATTTCAACTTAAAAATACTATCATTGGGCTTCTATATCCTCATATAAAACACAATAAGGCTATAATGCAGGTAAAGAAAATTAGTCTCTTAAAAAATACAGTTTGAACTGTGTTGCAAAAATCTAAAAATTAGAATGATCAGAGTACAGTCATCAGCATATCCAGCTATAAACTTCTGTTCTAATATTACCTCCAAAGCAACAGAATAAGATATGTCCATGTTTAGCTTGGTTGAAGTTCACCATGTGTAAAGTTGTAAAACAGTGTATATGGCTTGTAGATGTATGTATAATGACAAATAGTAAATTAAAAAAAAAAATTTAAGTTACCTGAACACAGTTCTCTGTATTTTCTCATCATTAGCTATATGTGCTGAGTGGCACTGAGGTTTGTGGCAAAGTGTGGGCAGTAACAGTCGATATACTTCCTTCCACGTCACTGGGGTACCTCCAAGTGCTATGATTACTTCCTCTGGAATTGCTGGGCCGCAAATCTCTTGACAAAGACTCTGCAAAAATAAAAGCAGAGAATTTGTTACGACTTTTGAAAGGTATAATGGAGTATTTATGTCATTGTATAACACTAACAATATGTAACTCGTTATTTACTTGGTATAAACAGTATTGGTCAAGTTGGAAGAACTCCTTTCATTGTTATTAACTAAATGATTATCCACTAACTACAGATGTTTTTTTATGATACCAAGTGATGGCACAAGTTGTGTACCTAGTAGTAAGCGACAGGCCTGTCCATAGCAGTTGCAGTGCCTCTCAAAGCCTTAAATTGCAAAGATATGAGGGGCATTGCCACATTATTGTTTGGCAACAGAAATAGGGAAGGCGAAGATCCTCCCCTGGCCAAACTGGTGAAATTTCAGGCACATGGGACTGGTCAGCTTGTCTCAGGGTGTTGGGCGCTGTGCATGGCCCCTCGAATCTTTGTGGTTTAAAGCTCTGAATGGCACTGCAACTGTTAGGGACAGGCATGTCGCTTACCACTAAGCACATAACTTGTACGTCCTGTCACTTTGTATTATAAAATAAGGAAAAAAATAAAAAGCTCTACTGCTACTAAAAATGTGTTGTCATGGTTTCTTACTATGGCATTTCTTTTTGTTTTCCCGATATTTTGAAACATGCTCAGCGCTAAATGATTATCACTAGTATCAGGTTTCTTACCACGGTATGACTTCTTTTTATTTTCCCGATATTTCGGAACGGTTGCACGCTCCATGGTCACGGGTTGACTGGACGGCGGCAGATGATAGCTTTATGAGCAGACATATCTGTCTACCCTCTTGCGCTGTCGACGACTACCTTCACCGCGATTTGTTGTGGCGTTACCATTACCATACCGTGTTAAGAAACCTAATACTAGTGATAATCATTTAGTGAATAACCACGAAAGTCTTAAAATCTATATATGCTTAGCGCTTTCAACCAGTGACCACAAACCATGTAACTGTTCCGAAATAGCAGGAAAATAAAAAGAAATCATATTGTGGTAAGAAATCTGTAATTAGCGATAATTATTGTAGTTTATGTGAGGTCAAAGTTTAAATTTACCCTGCACTATACTTCATTTCAATCCATTTTGAACAAAAAGTAAACAAACAAGTCACTGACTGACCATAGACGGTTTAGTGATGGCGAATTGGAACACCAACTACAATTCGATTAATTAATTGAATGAATCAATTTGTTCAACTGAGTCATACTAGCGGTTTTCCTTACATAACCTATATGTATAAGCATATTTCAAATTTCAATTTGAATCCTCCTTGAAATCCTTACACTTAGATACTCATTCAGTTGCGATTGAAATGTTTGATTTAATAATCGATTACTAAACTTTAATTGATTGAACCGAATGTTTTTTTCAAACAGCACTATGCAACTATCTACAAGTCATAGAAGTATAGATGAATAATAATCTCACTTTTGGACTACCATTTTTCAAATACGATTTTAGGATGCAATTCAAATGAATATTGTTGGAAAAAGTGATGATATATCAAGTCGAAATCTTCTAAATATATGTGAAAGTGTGAAAGTTACTTATTCGATTTATTGAGTGATTGCTTTAGAATTTTAACCAAACAAGTTTGTTTACTTTTTGTTCAAAATATACAAACTATACATCTATTGCAATCAAATGCAGTTTAGGTAAGTATGTATCACTTTCTTTATGTTAAGTAACACACTTTTAAACCAAACAGAAAAAGATTTAACTCTTCAAATACTTGTGACGAACTATGGTTTCAACCCTCTCCAAAGAGGAAACCCTTACCCAGAGCGGGACATTGGTAATCGATTCACCTATTAACTCATCTTGTTCTAAATAACTTGGCAATCAATTCAGGCAAACAAAGAAAAGTAATTCAATTAATATTCTTAGTGATGCGGGGCGCGACGACGCTCTGGCGCGAGCTCGTGAGTTGCGGTATATGCAATCACAGGTCATGCAAAGTCAGAATTAAAATAAATAACCTTTCACTAGCTAAGTGCAAGTTTGCAAACGTATATGTACTGAGTAACAGAAAACGGTACCACTTGCCGCATGGTTTGCACAAGGTATCAGCTTGCCTTTTACTAGCGATAAAGTTGGAATAATATGCAGAATACGCTTTGAATACACATCCTTTATTGTGTATAGCACAAATTGTTTAATAGAAATTATTTTTTTAGAAATTAAACATTGAAGAAAAAACAACAAGTCATGAGCCCAGAAAAGTCCAGGAGTAATATGTCCTAAAATATTTTGTAAAGAGTATTAAAATGCAGGCTGTTACTTCTCAAATTACGGCACATAGTCTTTTGCCGTTTAAATTATGCTGACTGAATTGGACCTCTGGGAATGTGTCGAGTTGGACTATAAGGCAACTTCTACAGAGGCTAAGAAAAAGAATGCAAAAGTCAGACGCAAGATTGTGCTCATGTGTCAGGAAAAAATTTATCCTTTGGTGATGCAATGCATAACGGCCTGGAACACCTGAGAAGCACTATGAAAAACCCTTCAGTGATGGAAGACTACTAAGACAGTTGTATCATCGCCTACTTAAGTTATTTTCTGCCAAATTATGGGCCTAAATAGGTATGGTGGAATGTCTGAATGACATTCAGTGTGCGAGCCAGAGTCTGAACTGTATAAAAGCTGGATTAGATGACGAATTCATCGGCATCATCATACTCGCTGGATTGTCAGACGATTTAAGATGTAATTCTCTTCACTTTAGAGCATTTGTCTGCTAAAATTTCGACGTAGATAGTGATGGCTGCGTTTCTCAAGGAGACTATGAGAAAAAGTACGAACGAAGGCACAACCGCTCTGATGTCACAGAATGACAGGAGCACCAAAAAGATCGTAGTCAGTCATAGGTGCAAGAAAAAAGGGCACTTTAAGTGGCAGTGTCAAGAACAGAACAACAGATAAAGTACCAAGAGCGTAGGGAAGGAAAATAAACATGACATTTATCTTCTCTAAAGTTCTTACCTTTAGAATAAAATCAAGGTTTTCCAATGAAGCAGAAGCAATTCGAAATTGTCTTTCCGATTGTAAATTTTCATTTCTATTTCCTTCTTCACATGTCTTTCTCTTATTCACCACTTGTTTTAGCCACTGGTAAGAGTATGGTATCTGCAATCGTTGATAAGCGATAAACTTTATAAGTTCAACCACTACGTGACCACAAGATATTGACGTCAATTGGTCACCGATATTAAGATTAACTATAATGGGTTTTGTCGGTTTTGTGTTTGAAGAAAACATTTCATAAATTTTAATAACACAAATCAACAATTTCGACAAATAAAATGACCGTTAAAAAAATTTGAATATTTTTTTAAAGTTTTCACCCATTTGTTAAGGCAATGCTTCTACTATACAGCCTCTTCATGTATTTATAGCATTGAACATGAATAACATGGGTGTTTTTTTATTAATTTTCTTTACGTATTAGGTATTACAGATCACTGTTTTTTCTTGTTTTTGAGCTTTTTTCTTAGAACAATACTGGGGTTTTTGTTTTTTCTGACAATTTGTTGTGTGTTTGTAATTTCTTTCTTTTTTCCATCTTAAGGTTTGTGACATATTTAGCAGTGACTATCTTTTATAATGTCTTGATTTATCATTATCCATTTTAATGATATGGGCGAAATTCTGGAAGTGTGTCCATGGTCCATGGACCATCCCCGACGAAAGGCGTAGAGTCGTCAATTGCGTATTGAAATAACAAAATGTCCCCGTGTCCTATCCCAGATAGAAGTACCATTGTTTCTTACAAGCTACAATATTTTTAGACGAAACAAGTTGCAAATCTGTTATATAATGCCGGGTTCACGGGTCTTTCACTTGCGTTTTTCTCTTGCTTGCGTGTCTCGCTTCGCGCATACGAAAGCTCACGAGTCGCTCGCTTGCGCTTGCTTTGCATTGGATTTCTACGCGTTGCGTGAGTTTGACATCTAGCAAGCTTGATATTTCCACGCAAGTAACAAGGAACGTTTACTGAGGACAGCACCACTCGAACGGCGAATCACAGCAGAAGCGTCCATGCGTCTACTACAACTAAATCAAAGGCAACGCGCCGTGGATGGGCGCAAGTCTCTCCGCAACGCAAAGCGGAGGACTCGTAAACGCCTTTGCGCGGAAGGCAGATTTCTACGCCGCGTAAAACGCAAGTGAAAGACTCGTGAACACAGCGTAATTAAAATCATAGCTACTACAATAAACTCTAGCACCTGTTCAGTCTTTTCTGTAAAAGATACTTCACAAACACAAAATTTCAAAATGTGACCATTGATGGTTGACGCCATTTGGCGTGTATAAAAATAAGACTGCAGGCATTGACTTACAATTGTAAGTCAATGACTGCAGGACATGTTTTCTAATCGCCGGAAAAAAACAGGACTTTTACACGATTGAGTGTTCATAAAATTTTGTTTTCCAATAATTCATAAATTTGAACTTGATGGCTATTTGCCTATGCTCAATAAAAAGTAATCTAAATTGACAAAAAAAATTACAATTTAGTTTAGAAACGGGGAAAGGCCTTAGAGGATGGAAAAAAAAAAGAAAAGGCACTGGCGACAACTCAAGGTTGCAACCACAGATGTTCTAAATTCAATTTGCTTGTCAAATTGAATGTGATCAATTCAACGATTTCGCGGATATTTCAATATTAGTGTGTCAAATAAAATATTTAAGAATGCATCGATTCCAAACATTTCGGTATCAGTTACACAAATTATCTAATATTAAATTTATTCAAGCTAGCCGCCGTTGCTATGCTAAAGAGGTCAGATTTGGACCGGACGTCAGAGCGTTAATGCTTCAGGGAGTTGATATTCTTGCTGATGCCGTTGCAGTAACTATGGGACCTAAAGGTCGCAACGTTATTTTAGAGCAAAATTTTGGCCCTCCAAAAATAACTAAAGACGGCGTGACTGTCGCTAAAGGGATAGAACTAAAAGATAAATTCCAAAATATTGGCGCTAAGTTAGTACAAAATGTAGCTAACAAAACAAATGAAGAAGCAGGAGACGGGACGACTACTGCAACGATTTTAGCTCGAGCAATTGCAAGAGAAGGTTTTGAAAATATTTCGAGGGGTGCTAACCCAATAGAAATTAGAAAAGGCGTAATGTTGGCTGTAGAAACTGTGAAAAGTAAACTTGCAGAAATATCAAGGCCAGTGAGCACATCTGAAGAAATAGAACAGGTGGCTACCATTTCTGCGAATGGAGATAAATCGATTGGGAAACTAATTACTACAGCTATGAATAAAGTTGGCAAAGACGGAGTTATAACAATTAAGGAAGGGAAAACTTTAGACGATGATATTGAAATTATAGAAGGCATGAAATTTGATCGCGGTTACATTTCACCATATTTTATTAATTCTGCTAAAGGCCCTAAGGTTGAATATAATGATGCTTTGATATTGTTTTCTGAAAAGAAAATATTTACAGCGCAGCAAATAATACCAGCTCTTGAAATAGCTAACGCAAAAAAGAAGCCTTTAGTAATTATTACCGAAGAATTAGATGGTGAACCTTTGTCCATTTTAGTAATCAACAAACTAAAAGCTGGACTACCAGTTGTAGCTGTTAAAGCTCCTGGATTTGGAGATTATAGAAGGGAGTCTTTAATTGACATGGCCATTGCGACTGGTGGTGTTGTGTTTGAAGACACTGCTAATTTAATAAGGCTGGAAGATTGTCTACCAGAAAGTCTTGGAGAGGTAGGAGAAGTAGTGATTACTAAAGATTATACCATTTTAATGAAAGGCAAAGGCAATCAAGATGACATAGCCCAGCGCATTGCACAGATCAAAGAAGAATTAGAAGAGAAAAGTAATGACTACGATAAACTGCGTTTAATAGAACGTTTGTCTAGACTACAAGCAGGAGTTGCTGTTTTAATGATTGGAGGATGTAGCGAAGTTGAAGTTAATGAGAAAAAAGACCGTGTTAACGATGCCTTAAATGCAACAAGAGCTGCCATTGCTGAAGGAATAGTGCCTGGTGGTGGAGCTGCACTACTTCGATGCATACCAGTCCTCGACACTCTAACGCCAGCTAATTGTGACCAAGCTATCGGTATTAATATCATTAAAAAAGCTTTACGCACTCCTTGCTTAACTATAGCTAGCAACGCTGGATTTGATGGTTCGGTTGTAGTATCTAAGGTAGAAGCAATGGACAACGATTACGGCTATGATGCTTTAAACAATGAATATGTTAATTTGATTGAAAAAGGAATAGTCGACCCGACGAAGGTTGTACGAAGAGCTCTAACTGATGCTAGCGGGGTTGCGTCTTTGTTAACAACAGCAGAAGCTGTTATATGTGATCTCCCAAAAAAAGAGTCTTTAACTTTAGGAGGTTCACCAGAATTTTCTCCTGATCTGGATTAGTTCCTTCGTTTTGCTCTTTGTCACTGGAGTAGTAGTGTATTCGTTTGGTTCCAATCTATATTTTTATTATTGTGTTAATAAAGTTTTAATATACCTTAAATATATATTACTTTTAGTTTGATACCTTTTTCCCCCCACTGTCTTCTACCTATCTACCGACCCAACACGGAGTTCCGGGGATAACGCGCCGAACCCTTCGCCAGTGATACGCCTTCACGGGCGTCTCTAGCGAACTCGGACTTGGGTATGGGCTCGCCGGGGTTTGTGGTAAGCTCGAGTGATGGACACATTCGTCTGCCCCGCTGATGCGTGACCGGAGCAATCGTCTCGCGCGCAGCTAGCGTGTCTTAGTAGCGGTCTAGACGAGGACCTGAGACGTCGGAAGCTATGTCCGGACATTGTCTACATAGTTGTAGTAGAGGATAAGCTAGACATCCTCCGGTCCCTCCAGTCGCGTAGGAATTTGGGAACTGGAGAGACGTCGTTTTTTCGGCGTTGCGTGCCTACAACTCCGGTAACTATCTGGAAAGTAAAAGGGAAAGCTGTACGTGCACCCGGGGCGGCTCACCTACAAGGTCTATCTAAAGGCCTTCTGAGAACCGGATGAAGTCCGTGCAAATGGGCTGTTTGGGGTTAGCACCTGACTTAGATGGTCCCTGTGCGGGCTTGCTCGCACAAGTTATAGTGCCCTTCCCGCATAACCAAGAGGTTGATAGGGAGGGTAACTATAAACAAAACTTATACAGAAAGATATGGGCTGTTCTTTCAGCACTCGGTAGACGTCTTCCAGCTCGTAAAGCACTATTTGTAGAAGGCATTTCCGCTTAGATTTTATTTGATTCTAGCCGAAGGATCAAGAATAATTCGTTTATTCCATTCCTTCATTTTAACCCGACGCCGACGCGCCAACGTACAAAATATACATTTTTTTTGTAAAATACACTTGTTTAAGATCAATTATGGTACATACTAGAAAAATAAATAAATCATAAAAAGACTTTATTCGTCAACACAAAACATGCAACATTTATGATAAAACAATTATTGCTTAAATCTAAATCGAAGAAAAGGTAAAAGTCTCAGCATTGGCCGATTTTCAGGTTTCACCTGGCAAATCTTCGATGGTTCACCCTGGACATACTGTTGCATGTAGAGATGGGTATCTTTTCTATAAATATTTTAATACATTTACTTAGTGATCCTATCTTATATATAAGATCATTGCACTTAATAGAAATAACAAACCTTAAAACCTCAAATAACACACGTATTGACCACCAACCATACTGGAGTTAACATTTTATAATTATGAGTATAACTTACTTTTCACTTCACTTTTTATTAGTTGAAAGAAAAAAAACGAAACAAAAAAAAATTTTCGCTAAGCTCTAATAGGACATTAACCGGTGTTGGTAAGTTGGACTACGGGAGTACTCAGTTGAGAATGTAAAACAAACAGCAAAACAATATTTATAAATATATGTTATTTAAGTGGATAAATTTACATAGAGTATAACTTAACTATATAACTTACTTTTATTATTGTTTCTAATGACGCAACTGAGCCTACATCACCTTCGATCTTAGAGGATGGAAAAAAAATAAAAGAACTTTCGACCAATAGCATGATGCTAATCCAAAAAAAAAAACTAATTCAGGCTTCAATGGCAGGTGTTTGAACCAATCTCATCAAAAAAGTCAAAAATGCAGTATTGCCTGCTTAAGCACGGTTGAACTTTTCCTTTATGTTTTTTCATCCTTTAAGAGGCTGAATGGCAATTCACGAAGGATGGAAAAAAAAAAAGAATTCGTGCTCTAGGTGGTCAACAATGGCAATGACATGATAATGATTTTCTTTGGATTTGCTCTGGACCTTTTGGAGGGAAAAGTGTCGTTTTTATTTTGACTTTTAATTATTTTGTGAAATCTAGTTTAAAGTGGAATAGGATAGTGCTATTGTGCCTTAATTGAAGATTAAAACGCGAAATTTTACGAATCTCGAACTAAAATACCCGTATCGGCCCGTTCTAAGGAATCCCGAGTCAATCCAAGCACGCCGCCCGCGTCTCTTTGTGGCGGCCATATTTACGGAAAAAAATATTTTTATGTTTTCGGCTGAAGGTCTTTGTTTCCATGGCCAGAAATAAATGTAAAAAAAAAAAAAGATTTCCCTTTGATTTCCCATGCCAGACTATAGTATATACAGCTTCAAAGAAAATTCAAACTTTATATAGCATTGGCTAAACTAACTCGACAATAACCACAGACATATATCTAGATAGACGCCGCAGGTGTTCGTACTTCGCGTGCCCAAAGTAAGTGAAATTCACTTACTTGCCGCTGCTATACATCAGAACGCGCTCGACCGTTATCGTTATCGTAGATAAACACCAGTCGAAAACGCGAAAAATGCATGATTGATCTGTGCAATGCGCTGGGCTATGTCATCTTGATTGCCTTTGCCTTTCATAAAAATAGTATAATCTTTAGTAATCACTACTTTACTAACCTTTAATCCTAAATTGCTTAATTCAACTCGCAGCAAATAATTTCTAAAATCAATATAAACTTGAAGAAGATTTATACAATATTGACTTTAACCCAGTTTATAATTCTGGTCCGGTATCCAGCCGGAAAAGGCGGATAGTAGAACAATATCCGGTCGGATACCGGATGTCCAAAATTGAGCAAAATTCACAATCGGTCCTCCAAATAAATTGATTTATTGATTAAAGGGGATAATAATAGCATAGTAATAGGATATAATTAAATAGCAAGTACACAATTGTTAACAATTTGTTTATTACTTGTAGCTGTTGGAAAACCTTTTTGTGTGTCAGTAGTTCCATCCTCTAAGGTCAGTAGATACATTTATGTAAGTTGTCTGTGATTGTTTCGAATTTTGATTTAAGTGGTTAGTGTTCTTTGTCACATCGAGTTACAGAGTTGTTACAAACCTTAGTTACAAACATTGTTTTCCTCGTAATGATTACTTGGTTGATTTTATTTTTTATAAGGATTTTGTGGGATAGAAGGCTCCTGTCTTTCATAATTTACTCAGGAAGACTTTATATGGACTCAAGCAAGCCAGTAGAGTCAGGAATGAAAAATTGCATAAAGTTTTAATTACCAATTAAAGACTGAAAAAAGTGTCTATTATAAAAACAGACCTTAGAAGATGAATAAAAATAAAGGGATAGTCTAAGCGATAAACACAAAAATTGAAAAAGTCGATTATCTGCCGACTGTCAACAACAATATCAGATTTACTATTTTTTTTTTCAAACCTATTATAACTTTGCTTACATCGTGATATTTAACCTTAGAGGATGGACAAAAATAAATAGTCTAACTATGTAACCGTACCATACGACGCGACGACTTCCTGCTACAGATGAGGCGGTATGGAATACCTTAGCCTGTCCTTTTTTTTTTAGACGAGTAAAAAAAAACATAGACAGTTGGTTGAATGACAGGGCGACAAGCGCGCGGGAAATTTCTCAAATTTCTCGTTCACTTATGATAATGACTATTGGTGTATTTGTGTATGTTAATATAATATAAATAATAATTAAGTGTGTACATACTTTAAAACAACAACGTAGTTCACTTAGTAGTCTGTGAAAATAACAACTGCTGTGAGTAAACGTACACAACTTCATATTAAGCTAAAGAGAATGATTTACGTGTAATATAAAATCGCCCTTGAATTTTAAGCCATGGCTCAAAGTGATGTTGAGGATGATTTTACTGAGTCCGTAGACAATTATGCTATGGACGTGGATGATTCTATTGATAAGACCAGTCTTCAAAGAAGAACAGTAAATCCGGAATCCAGTGACGATGGTGATGAAGTAATCCCGTTGCTAAAGGCGAAGATACGCGTTCAAAGACTTGCGGACAGTTGTAGTGATTCTGGTAAGACGATTACACAACACGGGGACGAGTCTCCATTGAGCGATGAAGAGGCTATTTTATTTAGGAAAAGCACTTTCCAGAACAATAGCGACAATAGTAGCGATATTTCTACTTTAAATCATCATCCGCAAAAGTCTCGAATACAAAACGTATCTAATGATGAAGATTCCGACCCTCATTCTCTACTATCCGGCATAAAAGTAAAAGTGGCATTAAAAAATAAAGAGCAACAAACTCGAATGTCCAATAAAAGGGGCAAAATGCGAAACAAGTTCAAAAAGTTGATTTACTCTAGAGAAAAAGACAACAATTTAAATAAAGATTTGGAAAGAGATGACAACACTAAATGTGATTACGAACGGATGGACAATGAAAGTGAATATTCTGAAGAGGATGGTTCATCAATTGAGAAACTGAAACAGGTTGGGCAAGTTTATCAAACCAATGGAGGATTAATTAAAATTTGAAATGGAAGGCCACTTATGGACACAGTTTTATTACTTGTTATATTGTTGTGCATATGAAATCAATTTTAATTTATTACTTAAGTTATCAAAACCATGTATGGGACTATTTAGATTTTCATATGTAACTGGAATTACTAAATAGTCTTATGTCTCAAAGTGACAGACCCAGTGGCAGTACCCATCAGATCTTGGTGATTTAAAGCTTTGAGTGGCATTGCAGCTGTTATGGACAGTCTTTGTGTCACTTACTACAAAGCGCAGAACTTGTTCATTCTGTCACACATAAACAAAAAGTATCTATGTCGTAAATAACTGAACATATTAATGAGTTTGTTTGGCATAATAGTGCTCAAATAGAGCACTGCAAAGTTAGCATACTTTTTGTATGTCATTTTTTTTTTACAACATCAAGTAATGAGACGAACAAGTCGTGCTCCTGATGGTAAGCTACATGCCTGTCCATGACAATTACAGTGCCACTCAGAGTTTTAAATTGCAAAGATCTGAGAGGCATTGCCACTGCGCCCGTCACCCTGAGACGTAAGTTGACAAGTCCCTTGTGCCTGTAATTTACCCTTGCCCTTCAAAACCGAAACACAGTAATGCTAACATAACTGCTTGGCGGCGGAAATAGGTAAGGTGGCAGTGCTACCCTGGACAAACTCTTTCACAAGGAGCTCTACTGCTACTAAAATTATGTAAAGCATGCAGTGAGAATTTGCTACAAAATACAAAAACTCAGTTGCCTTATCTGTGTCTAATTTTCTTTACAGAAATTTAAAAATAGGACAATGGGAGAACTGAAAATGTCGATATGTGACCCTGACACTTCAGATGAGGAAACTGAAGCTCCTAAACGAGCGGTGCAGAAATATAAGAAAGGTAGAAAATCTTCAAAATCTGCTTCTCCAAAGCCTAAGAGGGTTAGTATTATTATTATTAGCTTTAAGCCAACAGATCAATAGGCTCCACATATGCTGGATAGGGCAAACATTCGTAAAAAATGTTAATAACTGGTGATTTCTAGGAACTATCATTAATAAGTGAAATATTTTTTTAAATATGAATGATATGTGTAAAATTATATTTAGAATTTGTTTATTATGAAAACCCCTAAACATGATCATGTTATTATATGATAACAAAATGAACATTCCAAGTTTGTGGGTTTCGTAATTGTAACACATTGGAAATGGAACTGCTTTTCATATCCAGATCAAATAAAAATCGCGTAAATTTGTTTTTTAAACAACATTTTGGGTCTTTTATGAGGCCCTGTAAACATAAAATATATACCAGATTTGGATAAATAATAATTCCTTCCTAAAATGAACACTAAAAAAATTGTGAGCATGCTTGTGTGTGGGTATGCTTTATTGATATGAGTAAACCTTACTTTCACTTATTATTTGAGCATGAAATATTCACTTACTGTTCTTGTCCAATCAGATTAGCTCCAGTCTCTTCTGAAGACAGTAAACAGTCTAGGCCATAGATAGACACTTTAAGGAGTATAATTCAGTAGATTACTGTTATCTTTTAGAAAACAAGTATACATTATTTTTTATTCCACACAGATGTCAGCTAAACAAGCAATGGAAAACATGCAAAAGATTAAAAGTGAATCAAACAGGATGCTTAGGGAGAGGGAAGTATCTCTACCCTATCATAGGCCTAAGGCTCTCTCATTGAAAGACATCATGAGCAGGAGAAAGCCTGCAGTTACTGCTGATGGGAAAGCGTTTACTATAAAGATGAATGAGGAACAGTTAAGGCAATATGCGTAAGTGTTATTCCCATAATCATGTTATTCTAGTTAAGCACACTTTTTTTTTTTTAATTCTATGGCATAACAATTTGCGCAGTTATGAAAAACATGGAATTCGTTTTGGAAAATTATGCATATTTTAATTAATATGTGCTAAATTATTATGAATCGTGATAATGACCACCATAACAGTTTGTGCCAAATTAATTTTTAATTTATTTTATTGCATTAAGGCTACTAACAGATTGACTGTATGTTTGCAGTTAATATGTGAAGTCATAATCAACTTCAGGCAGCTGAGGCCTCGTCTGCATGAAGTTGATAACTACTTCATGCATTAATTGTATGCAGTTGATTTAACTGCTGGTAGTTATCGCCGCGTGCATAACTAAAGAGCTCAGTGTAAAATCACAACATGTTGTTGTTGTGATGGATGCACGGATGTCTATGTATGTCTTAACCAACATCACTATTAGAATTTTGATTAATCTGTCTTTGAATGTCAAGCCTTAATCAACATTATTGACAAATAATACAGTTCAGTTTCCCTTTTCCTTTATTTCTCTAGTTTAGCATTGGAACAGAGGCAAAAAGAAATAATGGCACTCTGCAAAAGTGAATCTGAAGAGGAAGATTTACTAGAAAATGAATTGTGTGAGACGAAAAACCATAATGGTATAAAAGAAACAACACAAACTTGTACTCAAGATCAAGATAAAATTTCATCTCAGAATGACAAACTTTATAATGATTTGTGTAAAATTAATAGTGAGACTGAAATGAAAGACCACATTGATACCAGTGTCCAAGAACAAAATTCTGGACGTACGTCTGATGTTAATGTCAAGAAAGTCACTAATTGTAATGACGAACAAAAAGATGTTTCTAAGATGGTAGCAGACGAAAATAACTCCCAACCTAAAACCTTAACAGAAACTGGCAATGAATTTTCTAATGATTTGCCTCAAGAAGAGAATACGTTCGCCGAAATATCACTCGTTTACAATGACTCAGTTGAAGAAAATCAAACTTATGTTAATTTGGAGAATGTGGCTAATGAAACAAGTGATGACAACATGAAACACCATGTGCTATCAAAAGATCACCTAAACAACGAACTGACAGTTGGAAATTCGGAATTGAATAAGCCTGGTGATAGCCACGTAATATCTCTACATAATGATACAGAAAACCAGATCTGTGCTGAAACTTTTGCTGCTATCAGTGAGAAACCTATCACAGATGAAATAAGACAGTCAGATGAACATGCCTTTTTTGATGATGATGATGTCAATATGGAAGACATTGATAAGTTGATAGAAAATGCCGAAATAATACAGAGTATGTATCTTCTTTCTTCATTGTTGTTGTAACTGCCTTTATGCAGCCTAGTCTAACTTAATATTTGATAAATATTATTTAGTCTACTAAGTAGGATGTACTATTTCCTTCGCTTGTTTTCATTTTAGCCCAACATGACATTGTTTCTACAAATTCTCCTATGCTTATGAAGGACACTGATAAATTGCAAATCAAGCCTAAGTTAACAGGAAGACCAGGGATGCTGATAGATCTTGATGGCACTGATCCTTGTGGACCTAAGAAGCTGACTGGTGTTGAACTCTTGAAGGAAAGGTTCACATACTTTGCTCGGCTTAAAACACCTGAAGAGTTGGAACGTGAAAGAGAGAAAAAGTGTGTAATGCATTGATTGTTATTAAAGTGTAGGGTTTTTAATATTAACATAACTTATTTATCACTGCCAAAGTGTTGAAAAGTTTTCATTGTCACTTTTAAAATATAATGGACTGATAGTAAAAACGACACTCGGAGAATTGTACTTTTGAACGTTTTTATTACTCCAAATGAAAGAAAATATTCACTATTGTATATATATCTATACGTATACACTGTAATAATTTTTTTGTATAATTTTGTTCAGGATCAAGCCAGGCACCCAGCATATAAAACTAAAACAAGAACTTGAAGAAAAAATAGCTGAACAACGTTCTCTTGAATGGGCAAAAAGATTGGAACAGGAAAAACAAAATCAAATGGATCTAGATGCTATCAGAGGCAATGATGGTCTCGATGATATCGACAAAATCGAAGCTAAGCTGGAAGAAAAAGTATGTATAGAAGAAGACTCTTCTGATGAAGAACAGTTTGAAGAAGAAATAGAACTTGAAGATATTAAAGAAAAGCCAAGGAAACACAATCCACTGATAGCTGATGAAGCAGAGGAATCAGATTGTGATGATATTGATGATGTTCATAGTGATGAAAATGGTGAAAGTGAAGATGAAGCTGAAGAAGATGCTGCTAATGAGGAAGATACAGAAGATTCCAGTGAAGAATCTGACAATGATCAGCAGGCCAAACCGAAGAAAGGACGAATATTAAAAGCTTTTGAGGATTCTGATGATGAAGATATTACTAATGTTGATAAAAATTCAAGACTTGATAATAAAATAATAGAAAATGATGTTTCAATTAAAATTATTAGAGGAAACACTCCAGAAATTAAAGAGACACAAGGTACAGTTTTTACTATAGTTTTATGTCTATATAATTTTCAACTAAACTTATAAAACTAAGAGTCAGCAACTCGTGTGACCTACTTACACAAACGATGGATCAATATGCACGAAACTTTCTTATTATTGTAAAAAAAGGATGGCGTTTCTTACAAATAGCAAAGCATATTTTAACTAGAAAGAAATGTCATTGACTATGGTTTTGTTGCAGATGAAGAATTACAATTAGCTCAAATGCACAAATCATTTTCTGAAGACCTTTTTACAAGTCAAGAGAGTGAACTGATTACATCTAGCCAGAAAACCACTAATGCTGCTGTGAGTGGTAGATCGTGTGATGATAAAGATTTAGGCACTCAAACATTTTCTATATTGGATACAACCAAAGCTGTTACTCATTTAGATATACCAGTGCCTGGCCAATTAAATATGGGGTGTGATACAGAGGCTTATGAAGTAAGTTATAATTTTTGATACCAGTAAATGAACGCAGAATTTCAGTGTCAGGGGCCAAGATCCCTTAGCTAATGAAAATGCGATTTGTTTTGACTATGTAAGTACATAGTTAAAGGAAGACTCATGTGTTATTTTTCCGAATGATGTGCTGTAACGCTTCCAAACTTTGCTGCTGTGTTATGAAGTTGTACTGGTGTGTTCACACTTCGTTTTTCTATATTGGTCTTCAAAATTTTAAGAACATAAAATAAATTTATACTTAATAATGTTATGTACATTTTTTAACTTGCTTTTATTACGTTTTTAGGGTGATTTAGATGCAGTAGTAGGAATGTGTTCTGGCAGTTTCTCCCAAAATTTAGTTACATCTCAATACCCAACAACGCAATCTCAGATAGGTGAAGATGTCCTCGCTCTCTGTACAGGCCAGTTTTACGACAATAAATTCGTTTCACAATTTGATTCCAATTTTCAAGATAAAATCGATGGTAGTTTTGTACCCGAAAATGACAAAACGAAATGTAATGGTTCAAATTATATGATTAATATTCCTGTGAAAGAATACCAAGTTATTAAAACGAATGACAAACAATCAGAAATACATGATGATGTAAAAATTTACGAAATCTCTGAAAGTATTAATACAAAGGAAAACTGTATTGAAGATAAAGAGATAACTGACGTGACAGACCAATTAAATACTCGTGTTCAAAAGGATGAGGAAAATCAAACAAAAGCTATAGAAAATAAACTACTCACATCTCTACTTGAAGAACTAAATGATCCTGAATTAAAATCGATAAAACCACATAAGTATTTCCCTAATAATGACAATCAAGGTAAAGAGAATGCACAGAATGTAGCAAATATTCAGTTCAAGAAAAAGTTTATTATTGATTCTGATGATGAAGGAAATGGCAGAGAGGAAGTGGTTAAAAAAAGGAAGAAATTAAAAAAGAAAAAAATTGAACAGCGTGCGCTTCAGATATCTGGTAGATATTAGTTTTTATTCTTATTTTTACTTACCAAAATGTATGTATTCTAAAGGATGACATAATTGAAAGAAAAGAAACAAAATGCATTTATTTGATTACCGCAAACGGCACCACACAAGGAAAAAAGAGACAAACCAGAAAAGCAAACAGAAAAAAGAAAATTAAAAACACATAAGGCACAAATAATCACAAAACAAAATCACAAACAAAACAATTCAATTAAAGCACAGATTACATAAACAAAGATGCTAAGTATAAAAATAATTTGTGTAGTGCCAGATGAGGTAACAAGGGTCATTAACTCATATTTCCTTGAACGATCTAATACATTCAGCCATTTCACGTAGTAGGATAACCGTTATTATGAATTTTCAGTACAATTTTAAACTATTAATTTCAGACGACGAGGAAGATGAAGAAGAAAGCATGTCCGAAATCGAAGAAGACCCTGTGAGAATTGTAGAATATGATTCTGAAGAAAATGAGGTAAGTCTAATTAGGCCTATATACATATACATTTTCATCACTCCAAAGGACAACTCATTATCGATCGTTTTTATAAACGTTTCTACTGATTAGCTTGGTTTTTGGAAAATTTTCCCAGCTTAAAATGCCCACCCAGAAAGTGTTATGTTACACGCTTCTCGTTATTTTGTTTGCTAGTACTGTGTTATTTTAGTATTTCCTCCTTTTTTTGCAGTAGGTTAAAACGTAGGGAAAGATTTTTTTCTCGAAATACTAATATAGGTCTATTTCAGGCTTGTCTTCCACATTTACAACAACTATTTATTTAGAAGTTTTATGATTATTTATTATGTAAGTTGTATGTATGTAAACATATAACATTCCAGGTGGAAGTCTTGCCACAACAGCCTAAAAAGAAGCGTAAAGTAGCGGATTTCTTTGAACAAGAGGCCGAACTGACATCAGAAGACGAATGGGCAGGGTCAGGGGATGAGGACGAGCGCGGACTGGATAGAATGGAACGCGAAGATGGTGACGACGACACCTTCAACCAAACGATATTGCAAAGGGAATTGGGACAGATACACATGTAAGCGACAATTCAGTTAGCATTACAATAATCTTGGTGATCGAACTAACTTGAGCTTGATTGACGTTTAAGTTGCATTTAAGTTATTTATTAATTGCAATAAGCAATTTAATTAATATTTTTATATACAGGCTTACCCACGGCTTTGGGTATGGAGGGAAACATTTTAAATATTATAAATAGGATATTTTGCTTCATGGAGATTTTATTTTATTTTTAAAAGTAAGTAATACTGAATTCAAAGACTTAAAAAGTTGCTTGCCTCATCTGGGAATCGAACCGACCAAATGTGAAAAAAAACATCTATATTTCTGTGATATCGATCAAAAGTGTCAACAACATGGATTAATTCTTTTTACACATTAAATTAAAGGAACATCATAAAATTTTGCATGTAGGAAAGTGAATTTTCTGGGGATGTGTGACAACATAAAAAAAAATCTACAGGCAACGAACTTATCAGGAAGAAGGATCGCATTTTGGACATTTGATAAATTAATTGCATATACTGTAAATACATAACCAATTTCAAGCTTGTTATAATTATTAATACAAAGATCAAACACTTAGAAAAAAGTCCTTCGATCCTCGAACGAAAAGTCCTCGAACTAGCGTCTTTCAGAAAATCGTGCTAGACGCTATGCCAACTAAGCCACGGAACGACCTAGCCGACCTTACTTTTTTCTATGTGCTTGTGCTCAGCTTTATTTAAAAAATATTATTTCTCATTTGTCCGACCAATCTCAAGTCAGCTTCGCGACTGCACACTATGCGTACACATATGAATATATAGTCACTTATAACGTTTCTTCTGAACGTATTCAAAAACCGACTTTAGATAAATTTTCTTGAGTCAAGTACTGCTGCAGTGTTGAGGCGTCATGGTCGATATTCTTAATGTTTGTAGGCGTGACGTCCTCGATCAGGACAAGCGTGAAGTAAGGCTGATACAGGAATTGCTGTTTGAAGATGGCGACCTAGGCGGCGGAGGACGACAAAGGAAATTTAGGTGGAGAAATGCAGGTTAGATCTTTAATTCTACTTCCACCTACATTAAAAAGCCATGGTAGCCTACCTGTTTGTTTTAACCTGTAGTTTGACCTCCACCTCTCAAGCAGAGGACGTGGGTTCGAATCCGAGCTAGCAGTAGTAGCGGGCTAGTAGTCGAACTACTGAGTTTCTGGGAATTAAGAGTCTATACAACCTCAAATGTTTTTAATTGATTCCGCATAACTTTCGCATAATTCCGAAGTTACAGTTCCACCAACTCCATTGATACATAGTCGCTCTTTATGGAATGGTATTCGTAAACTATGTATTTGATCATACTTGACGACGGAGAGCGATGCCCCGGTGTCGATTAACCAATTACATTCATATTTATTTAAAGTCAATGGCACTTTGTTTAAAGAATTACACGCGCAGATATAGTTAGGCTCGAAAAAAATAATTGAGCGGCTCTGTGTCCGTTTTTGATGGCTCTGTATTGTCGGGCTCGTGGGTCATGAAATGCATACTTCTATTTGAAGAAATTCGGCGATTTCCACTGTATCTACCTCGAGATGCGTTTCCGTTACAGAAATTCCTGCTCTTCCTCTGGTACTTACCCTGCGAAGGTCTGTAAGATTGTGACGGTCTTGATTTAGCATTCCTTTGACCTCGCTGCCCTTGTGTTCCCCATGTGGCCCCTGTAAGGTCTTTTATTAAAATTATTTTTATATAGTGACTGTTGGTACGTACCCATAATCTCTGTTACTCCCTAAGAGGTACTTGCGGCTGTTGAGATCTCTTCGTCTTGGGCGGTCGGTATAGCATCCTTTAGCGTGCTGAAATTACGAGCTATTATAATGGTACCGACCCTCCGATTTCGCAACCCGTCGGCAAATCTTCTGATTGCATTTTTCTAATTTATTGGGCGTACCACGTCATAATTTTTCGAGTTTCCCTCGGGATTGCGAGATCGTAAGGTCCACAAACTATTGCGTGATTTCTTTACCGAAGTCGACAATAGACTTTTCGTATTGTCTAGCCTGTTGCAATTTTGTTTGTAAAGCAGTTGCCGACTTTTGTGGCAATAGCTGCCTTTTCTTGTCCCTAAGAAGTTCGTCTATTGACTGGTAAGCGGCTGAACGTCTCAATCTTGCCGACTGCGATAGTCTTTTTTCAAGACCAATGTAATTAATTGTGTCTCACTATCCTTGTCTAAAATAGAACTGTAATATTCTATGGCAGATTCCCCAACCTGCGTTGGGCTTAGAGCATCGAGCCCGCGTTTACCCGGTCCGGGAAAACCCGGGTTTTCCCGGTTCTGATGGTTACAAATAAACCCGGGTTTGATTTTAAAATCCTGGTTTTTTCGAATAATTTACTTAATTTTTTTTTATTATTTACTATGTATAAACCACTTCGAATACAATAATAAATGTAATAAAAACACGCT